GGGTACCTGGCTGGAGTGAGATTTTGATATCATGGGTTTAATTACACATATGCGCACTAAATGACTGCTATCGTGTCAGTAGCGGGACCTTAGCATATATATAGGATATATATACAATATATACAAATACACAATATTGGACACAGACTATAAAGGGCACACAGTTTCATTCACTAATGAAAGTCAAACACATGTTTGTTTCCACTGTTTTATTGTGTGCATAGGCCTGTCGCGATAAGCAATTAATTGACTTATCGTACGATAAATAAAAATGAACTCGATAAATTGCCATTTACATGAGGATGTGACTAGCAGTTTGAAAGGATGTACTTGAATTATTATTATATATTATCATTATGTCAGTGGTCTAAAATGGTCATACAACGGTGCCGACAATATTATCGTTTATCGCAATAATTTCCGGGAAAATGTATCCAACAAAATTAATTATCGTGAGAGGCCTATACATGAAACACACACACAAACAAATTACAGACTTACTCCAAACTGCCAAATATATTAATTAACACACTCTCACTCTTATATACTCTTTGACTCTATTTTGGCCTAGTAGAACAATAAGCAGCAGACTTTTACTTTTTTATCATTTCTACTGGATGCGCAATACGGGTCGGGGATTGACCAACCGGCTCCCACTGCTCTGCTGTCTGTTAACGTTGTTAAGAGTGGTGAGGGCGGATCAACAGCTTGAGCAGCTGTCAACTCAACATTGTAAATAACCAGCCAAAAACGATCGCCGGTTCATCTTGTTTTTGGCGTGAGAATAGTTTGGGCAGCGTGAGAGCGTGAGATTGAGAGTGAAAGCGTGTGTCACACGCCAGCTGCGTGAGAGGGGGTAGTGGTGGTCTAATGGATAGTGAGGTGGGCTGAAGATTGGAAGGTTGTGTGTTCAAATCCCGCCTGGAACACCACCACTAGTGTGCCCCTGAGTAAGGCACTTAGACCTTAGTTACTCCAGGGAGAATGTCCCTGCAATTGGTAATTGTAAGTCACTTTGAATAAAAGCGTCAGCTAAATTAAATGTAATGTAATGTGAGAGTTGGCAACCCTGAGTTATTGTCTCTTTGCTATTAGTTGGTTGAATTGGAATTACTACTGTGTTGTTTTTGCTCAAGCTAACACAAGCTAAGTGTTTGAAGTTGGTAGCATTTGTTGAGCTTGCTAGCTTAAAACGGGCTAAAAGGGCATTGTGAATTTAATATATTTAATGAAATCAAATTAACATTTGTTTAAATGTAAGAATGGTTAAAGTGGACCTATCATGCTATATTTGAATAATATAGTGTAGGACCATACCTATATAAGGCATATTTATACTTTTTTTTTCAAAATACCAAACAGATCATGCATTTTAGCCATGCCTCATTTCGCTCAATTTGCACTTTTTTATCCCTGTTTTTGCAAGGGCAGATTCTGTGAGAACAGCACCACCTACAGGCCTGGCATATGTACTACAGCGTCTCCAGCGCTTTCGAACGGCAATGGCCGTGGCTGTCTCCTCCTGATTGGTGGAGTTGGCCCAATAGCCGTAGCGCCACCGTCCTGACGTCAGGACAGTGTTCAAATCTGGATCAGTTTTTATCAGATCCGTTGCAGCCCCTTTTTTAGAGATTTGGGTATGGAGGAAAATAGAGAGGGTTGTGTTTTCTGACACTTGGTGAGTTCCCTGGAACACCGGGGACACATATTCATGTATAAAAGACGTACAAAAGTGCATTTTGCATGATAGGTCCCCTTTAAGTAACATCTATTAATGGCCTAATGAAGTTGAGCCTTTTAGAAAAAAAAAGGTATATTTCTTTATATATTTTACACAATGTTTTCATGCTATTTTGTTTCATAGTGTACTCTGTTTCTGTTCAACATTGAACACATGAGGCTCCATAGTTTCATTTGCTATTTTTATTCAAGTGGGTGTCGTTGAATAAATAATGGACGCATGTATGAAGTTATAAAGTGAAGAAGCAACTACATGAGTATCAGTGCTGGGTACAGTTGTGAGAGTCGTTTGGGTTGTAGCTGATTGAGGTGATAGCAGAGAAAAATAAAGGCTCGTACTTTGATAAACATCTGAGTTTATCTCTGCCTCGAGTAAGTTTCGTTTCGAATGAAGCAGGTGTTGCACAAGGCTGCTGTACATTCACATGGTGATAATGATCATAAGGTGTGTCAATGTTAGGAATGCTGAATGTTGTATAAAGTTGTGCAGCAATGTTTTTATGAACTCCTTTTTAACCTTCGGGGGAAGCGCGTGAGTCACATTATGTCTCGCACATGCTCTTTAAAACACCTACTTTTATTTCTCTAGAGCTGCACATCTTAACGAATAAAGTTTACATTTCATTCACAAAAAAAGGCAAGCGTTCACATTGTGGTAAAAGTGCCAACTTGATTTAGTTGCAAGCTGCTGGGATGCATGGACTTGAAATCATGATATGCTTGACTTTAAACAATGTCTCATAATGTTTGTAGTGAACAATCTTAATTTCTGACTCACATTAACGCTTGTGGCTGGGATGTTCTGAAGTGTGTGCGTGGACTATGGAGGCTATTTTTAGATGTAATCTGAACTTTGTTACTGGAGGTTTCATTAATTACCTTTACTGTGGTGGTGTTCAAGTTTATAGGCGTCTATAAATGTGACTCAGCATGGGAGGGGATGTAGGGCAAGGGACAGAAACATCAGACAGGATTAAAAAGTCTAATAGTTTGCTGTTTCACATTATCTCAATACCTTTTAGGAAGGATTGCACCTGCAGGTTTTTAAATTGTCTCTTATTTATTAGCTCCAAACTTTACTTTTGACAGTTTTGTTGTGTTAGTGGAGATTGATAGCGTTGAAAACAAGCTATAGAAAGACATTATCTTTGATTTAAAGTTGTTGCTGCGTTTAATTATTGAGTTGTGCTGTGTGTGTGTGTGTGTGTGTGTGTGTGTGTGTGTGTGTGTGTGTGTGTGTTGTGTGTGTGTGTGTGTGTGTGTGTGTGTGTGTGTGTGTGTGTGTGTTTGTGTGTGTGTGTGTGTGTGTGTGTGTGTGTTCTCATATTCTGCCTGTTATTTTGTGATGTGCTTCTTTCTCAAACAGTGTAGCAAGTGACAGGTGCGTCAATCCAGTCCATCATGTTAGTCAAGACTTATTGCTCTTAAATAATGAATCTACATTTATGGCTGTTGGACAATGCAACACATTTGAATTTGGTTTAAGACAATGAACTTATCCAGTTCTCAGTGATGGGTTTGGAGGATGTGACACTTCTTAACGATGCAGTGAAGAGCGCCATTACATCATGTTTACATACAGCTCATAACATAATCCTGTTGGATGCCATAGGCTCAATGCTGTTAGAAACTTCTGCTAAGGTTTTTCCTCTCATGGGGCAAGAAGTACTTAAAGGTGTGATTTTGCAAAAGACTGCAAGAAATTATGATATGAGGTATTATTCAAACAGATATAAAGGTGTGGCTTTTTGTCATGATTTAAATGAGACTGAACTGAAATTATGCCATTTTGTCATTGTGCTAAAATGAATATAAATATTATATATTGAATATATTTGCTAACCAATATATCGTGTGAAGTTGCTTTCTTTCAAAGACGTTTGAAACGTTCAAATATTTTGATCATATTTTTTCATGTTTTAGGTTCAAATTTACATATAACATGGTTCCAGCTCCTCAAATTAATGAATTATATTTAATAAGGATAACCATAAATACCCTGTCAAAAAGTTGTTGGACAAAACAAGCGTTGTAAAGATGTCACGTTGGACCCTAATTAATTGTGATGGGCTCTTCTCACATCACACAGATTAATCTTTACAAAACATAGTTAAACATTAGCCCCATTTTGCAAAAACAAATATTTAATCCTGCTCTGGTGAAATCTTGACAGTTTAAAGGTCCCATGACATGGCCATTTCTACTGATCATAATTCCATTGTTGAGGTCTATTAGAATAGATTTACATTGTTCAATGTTCCAAAATTACATTGGTTTTCTCATACAGCATCTCTGTATGTGTATTCACTCTCTGTCCTAAACGCCTTGTTAGAGCTCCTGCCCCCCCCGTCCCTATGCTCTGCACTGTGCTCTGATTGGTCATCTCGCCCACTCTGTTCTGATGAGTCAACCACCGTTACAGCTGGACATCAGTGATTATGTGTTACAATGGAGTTAGCAACCAGAAAATGACACCAGTAATGACAAACAGATGAGAATGCTGCGTGGGGTCTGGGTGCCGTGTTGGCGGGACGTTGCGGGGCTCGCTGCTCCGCCCTTTGAGACTTGCGGAGCGGACAGTGTGAGCTGGATTACTGTTTCCTGGTTGCTGCGTGGGGTCTGCGAGACAGCGAGACACCGCGGAGCTCAGCCTGAGCACACACACACTGAGCTCAAAGTGTTGGGAGCTCCGAGCAGCACCGCGGCTGAGTGAGTGTGTGTGTGTGAGGATTGGCCCATTTGGACCAATCCGCGGAGCTCCGCAGCGTTACGTCACTATGACCAGGAAGAAAAAAATGGAAAAATAAAAAATCTCCAACGAGGCGTTCTGGGGCAGCATAGACAGGTATTTTCTGTGTTAGAGTTTTACTCGCTACAGGGTGTACTTTGAGAGTTTGTGACTTTGCAGACCGTTTACATGCAGAAAAAGCTACATAACACACAAGGGGACGGGTAATAACCGGAAAAGCATGTCATGGGACCTTTAAAATCGTCACAGGAATGATCTGTAAGTGAAGGGATGCATTGTTAGGATTCCTTTGTGGAGAAAAGGAAACCTGAGCTCAGCTGCTATCTACACACACACACGCATGCACGCATGCATGCACACACACACACACACACACACACACACACACACACACACACACACACACACACACACACACACACACACACACACACACACACACACACACACACACACACACACACTGTGGGTGTGTCATGTTGTTACCTTAACTTCCATTACATAAGACTAAAGTATAGTTACCGATGGCACGGTATGTTCACACTTCAGAGACATCTGGATCGTATGGGGAAAGGTAAGGTAACTATTTTATATTGAGTATATTTAACATTTACTATTTAATTTATGTATACATGTATTCATTTACTTCATCATTTGGAGCATCTTGGCACACAAGTTTTAAATGCTGCTCAAAATATATATATATATGTGTTTAGGGATGGGTACCGAGCCCCGGTATTAAACGGGCCCCGGGATGAATTATTGAAGACCGAGGTACCGGCGTTAAGCTCCGACGTTATCGGTGTTTTTATTACTGGAGACATTTAAAATATATATATGTCATATGTATTATTGCTACATAAACATTATATTGCCAGGCAAGAGATCTCTCTCCCCCGTCTGTGTGCGAGTGGGCGGGGGCAGTTTAAACACACGCGGCTGCTACTGTATGCAACACACACACACACACACACACACACACACACACACACACACACACACACACACACACACACACACACACACACACACACACACACACACACACACGCACACACACACACACACACACACACACACACACACACACACACACACACACTTTACCCATCTCGATGTGTGAATGTTCGTTGCCAAAAGTGCAATAAGAGTTTAGCATGTAAGGGCGGTAACACGAGCAATTTGTCTAAACATCTTGCAAAAGTGCACCACATTCAGACGGAGAAATGCACCGGGTTCGACTGTCTTTCTAGTAGCTCTGTAGCCCCATCAACGAGTAGCGTTTCCACGTCAGGTATGATATGCCAACCCAGTCTCACATCTAAACGTGTAATAACTACGTTGGTCCACAACTTGGGACGTAGTATTTCTACAAAAACGCCTCTGAAATTGTAGGATCCCTACGTTTTTTTTCATCATTCATTTCCAATGGCTGGCGTCTATGTCACGTGATCTTCAAATTTCTCCCTGCAGAAAAAAAACAACATGGCCGACCTTCGTTTTATTCTCGGTAGAAAATGCCTATTTTAAGGTTAGTTTGGCCATTAAAATGCGTTTTGATGTCATTTGATGCGAGAAATATGAGTTGTTATTTCAGATTATGTGTGCAGTGGATGTACATGATCTTTAGTTTGCTAGTTATTACGAAGATTACTTCAGGAAATTGTGTCCATATAACGTTTTCATTGTTACCAAGGTGGTTGCTAGGGACACTGCTATCGATATTATTTATGTTATGTTGTGTAACTGTTTAATGGTGTTATCTTTATTGCTACCCCCTTCCCCGTCAATTTATAGTGTTTGTCCACAGCGCAAACGCATCTAAAATTGTGGCATAGATACGTTATTTTCCCCTATGCTACCCAGTCTCACATCTCACATCACATCGTCATAAACAAATACCGGAAACAGACGTAGGCAAGATCCTCATCTCGGTGATTGGATGGTTTAACCTCTTAAGCCCTGAGCCTGTTTTTCAGGTCTCAGGCTCGAAAATGACATTCCCAGAACAAATGACCATATCTTCCCTTCTAAAAGGGTTAAATTAATAATCTTTATTCTCAAAGTAATGATAAACCTGTGAGTTGGATGTAGAAAAGTCAGAATCAATATAGATGTTTTTTATTTTAAAGAAAATTCAGATTTTACATAGTAAAAAACTGTAAATTATAGTGTCCGTCCAAAAATTATTTTTTACTTATAGTGAAAACTACCCTTGGATGATGGGTTAGTAGACTAAAAGCTTTAGGAATCCAAAGTACAACATATAATAAGTACCCTGTATCAAGATTGATGCAAAACAAGTGAAATTTGACCTTTTTAGAGAGATTTAGCCAAAAACCCCCACTTCTGGGGTCATTTGGGTGGATTTGACCTATCTCTGGCCCCCCTTGGTCAATTTTGATGAATGAAAGCTCTTTATAACCGCTAGAGCCAATGGAATCGAGGGAAAGTTATATACACACCAACACGTTAACAAATAAGGAGTGAGAGTGACGCGTTACCAAAACCATTAGCAGCTAACTTTTCCGCTCCGATTTTTACATAAAAAATGGAATTATGGATTATAAATAATTTCTTCAAAGGCACAAGTACATTATCAACCTATGGATCAACAGTTGTAGACATTTTTTTTTTCGTTTTAATGCCATTGAACACGTCTTTTGACCTAATTGACAGCTACGGTGAGACGATCAGCCGTAAAACCTCCGTAAAGGTACGTGTTGTGATGTCTGTGTTTGCTTCCCCTGTCGCAAGTTCGGATCGCTCAGTGATGATACTATACCTAAATAATCAGTGGAGTCTCAGCTTTAATAGGCTATATTGTATGTGCAGCTACGATAAGTAATAAGGGTATCTTTATCTTGAATTGTGTGCCGCAGTGCGTTAGAATTTTTTCGCTCAGGGGTCATTTAGACCCTTCTTATGAGACTTGTGTTTTGTTTTGGTAAAAATGGTTCATATCTTCAGTTAGCTGAGATTCTTCCCGTTAATCTGGTGCTACACATTAATAGTTTCATAAATGTTAAGAAGCCCTGAGACATTATCTCGAAAACAAAAAGGTGGGAGGGGTCCAATGGGGGGACCGCCATGCTTAAGAGGTTAATGCACGTTGGAAAATGGTGTTTATGCGATGTGAAATCCGAAAACATTTAAAAAAATAAAATAATACTTTATTCCGAGTGTTCTTGCTTTTCTCTTTGAAAGTCATCACATAACGGCATTGTAATACACGGTTCGGCTGCATTGAATATTACATATCTGCCGTAGTTCTGTATTTATAGAGCCCCGATGAGAAGACTTCTGGACAAACAGGAAGCACTGCCGCCAAAACTGAAAACGTGACGTGGATCATAAATATTTCAGCAATTAAACAACATCTTACATTTATTTTCACACAATACGTCTCCTTGCAGTATCAACACTAATTCGGCTGACTTTTATATTTGATCCAATTGGTGGATAGGCTGTATTTACACCATAACGGTGCACAGCTGATAGAAAGGGACACCTACTGGTTAAAGCACGTTATTGAATTTGATTATTTTATTATTAGATATTAATAGGATCCCTATAAAGTATATTCATTACTCGTTATTCTCTACTAATAGTTAATTAAAGACTGTATATAATGACTATTTTGCACATCCCTTTCAAGATTTCAAGATTTTCTAAGGTTTATTGACATATCATATTATACACAACTACGGTGTAGTTATGCAATGAATGAAAAACTTGGGTCGCAGGTTCCTCAACAGTGCATTACAAGACATCTATCAATAAGTGTGTACCTCCACCATTACATTGTCATATTCTGCACATTTCTTATACTATCTATGTACATCTTATAAGAGTATAATACATATGTATAATATCAGTTAAAATAAGTGCTTCAACATAGTTAACATTGCTGGAGGTATACACACATATTGATAGATGTCTGCAGCCTATCTACCAATTGGATCAAATATAAAAGTCAGCCGAATTAGTGTTGATACTGCAAGGAGACGTATTGTGTGAAAAGAAATGTAAGATGTTGTTTAATTGCTGAAATATTTATGATCCACGTCACGTTTTCAGTTTTGGCGGCAGTTCTTCCTGTTTGTCTAGAAGTCTTCTCATCGGGGCTCTATAAATAGAGAAGTACGGCAGATATGTAATATTCAATGCAGCCGAACCGTGTATTACAATGCCGTTATGTGATGACTTTCAAAGAGAAAAGCAAGCACACTCGGAATAAAGTATTATTTTATTTAAAAAAAAAAATTTCGGATTTCACATCGCATAAACACCATTTCCCAACCTGCATTGCGGCTAAACCATCCAATCACCGAGCTGAGGATCTTGCCTACGTCTGTTTCCGGTATTTGTTTATGACGATGTGATGTGAGATGTGAGACTGGGTAGCACAAGGGAAAATAACGTATCTATGCCACAATTTTAGATGCTGATTTTGTTAAACTAATACATTTGCACTGTGGACCAACACTATAAATTGACGGGGAAGGGGGTAGCGATAAAGATAACACCATTAAACAGTTACACAACATAACAGAAATAATATCGATAGCAGTGTCCCTAGCAACCACCTTGGTAACAATGAAAACGTTGTATGGACACAATTTCCTGAAGTAATCTTCGTAATAACTAGCAAACTAAAGATCATGTACATCCACTGCACACATAATCTGAAATAACAACTCATATTTCTCGCATCAAATGACATCAAAACGCATTTTAATGGCCAAACTAACCTTAAAATAGGCATTTTCCACCGAGAATAAAACGAAGGTCGGCCATGTTTCTTTTTTTCTGCAGGGAGAAATTTGAAGATCACGTGACATACAGCCATTGGAAATGAATGGTGAAAAAAAAAACTAGGGATGCTACGATTTCAGAGGCGTTTTTGTAGAAATACTACGTCCCAAGTTGTGGACCAACGTACAGTAGTTATTACACGTTTAGATGTGAGACTGGGTTGGATATGCTAGCAGCAACACACAGAGTTAACTAAATTATACAAACATGGGTTAATGATTAGAGGTAACTGAGTTATTTACAATGAAACAACCCTGGTGCTGTTTCTTTCGATGTGAAATATTATTATTTATTTAGTTAACAATTTGTTTAGTTAATTTTCCTTTACATTTTTTCAAAAAGAACCGATAAGAGTACCGTTAAAGGACCGGATCGATAAAAGATAAAATAGATAAAAGTAGTAGTACCATTAAAACCTTAACGATACCCATCACCAGAGATGGGGTCGTTACTCAAAAAAAGTAATATATTACATATTACTTCGTTACTCTCTACATAAAGTAACTCGTTACTTTACTCGTTTCTTTACATTACTTTTGCGTTACTCAGCAACAGCCTATAGCCAAAACTTAAAACGTAGGCCTACATGTGCACACATATAACAATTACTATTGCAATACGGAAGACATAACACAAGTTAATAACGGTGAAAATTCTAGTTTTTGCTGCTTATTCGGAGTCGGCACTCACTCAACATCATCACTCTGGGTTCGGGGGTCTTTAGCTACTACGAGGTTTGATGTTGTTGTGTTTGCAGCAGTGCACCTTACCGTCACATTCCTGTCCTTTCTTCTGACAAATTTAAAATAATGGGCATACCTCCACCCCTCGAAAGTTATAGCTGTTGATGTCTCTGTCTCAGTCTGCAGCTCAACCCCTGTGACAGCTGCATGTGGACAAGTCGCAAAAATTCCTGTAGTGACTTGAAATATTTAAAATGTTAAATGTTAGACCTATCACATTTACCAATCTTATCTACCCCTGGAACTAGCTAAACTAGTTATACATGTTTATTATTTACTGTCGTGTCGGGTCACTCATTCACTGGATCAGCGAGCTGCATAAGACACAGACGGGCTGTCAGGAGAGAGGGAGAGGAAAAGAGAGGCTCCGTTTATTAAACCCGCCGTGTTATTATCCAAAGTTAATGTAACCTTCTGAATAATGTAGTAACTACTAGTTACTGACTAGCCTGTCAAAGGGAGAATCTAGTAATTCTTTGGCGCAATGTTAGTAACTATAGTGTGATTACTGAATTTATAACAGTAACGCGTTATATATAATGTAATATTATTACAGTAACGCATTACTTTGTACTTGCGTTACACCCAACTCTGCCCATCACTATATGTGTGTGTATGTATTTATGGTTTTAAATATATGTATATATATATATATGTATATACATTTTTATATTTATAAAAAAGATGAAGGTGATTTACAATCTGTGTGTATCCGTTGCTGCAGGAAACTAAGAGTCCAAGATGGCGAATGGACCGTCCCTGTCCACTGTCACACGCTCCCTCTCACTGTTGGACGTTCTCCATGCAAATCAGTTTGAAGGAAAGTCTTTCGATCCAGAAACACTTGAGGAGACGGAGGAAAACCTTTACAGAGGGGCCCCACCCGAATGGTTAAACTTTCACATCAGTGAACAGGCAGAGTTAGATGGCACCGGATCTCCTTTCATTAAACGAGATGGATATGTTAAACTTATGAAGCAAATTCACAAGTTGAGAAAACACCCTGGAATATCAACAGTTAAACTGTTTCACCAGCCAGGATGTGGGGGGACAACACTGGCCATGAAGGTGTTGTGGGACTTTAAGAAAACTTTAAGGAGTGCTGTTTTAACAGGCTCAACCTCGGACATCACAAAGGTTGCAGAGGAGGTGGTCCACCTTTTCACAGCAGGCAGTCAAGGCGACCAGAAGACTGTGCTGCTGTTGGTGAATGGTGTGCAAGTTTTGGAAGATCTACAAGTAAGCATTATGAGGACGATTGCTAATCAGAAGATAGTCACCCGTATGCCTGTGGTGGTTTTACTCAGCTGTATTAGAGAAGATGCAGATTTAAAGAGTGATGATGTCTTCCTTCAAGAAGTGCTTTCTGACTCAGAGAAGAATCATTTTAATGACAAAAAGGTGGAGCTCAACAGGAAGTACGGTGATAAATGCAAACGATTCCATGGCTTTAACATAATGCAAAGCAATTTTTCTGAAGCTTACATCCAGGCGGCGTGCTCTGTATTCAAAACCATCAAAGAAACAGGAATACAAGAGAAAACCCAGCTTGCTGCCTTCCTTTCCCTGCTGAACGCGTATGTACCAGACTCTTATCTCCTTGAGGCTCAGTGCCTGGACGTGTTCAAACATGCCAACTACAGCCACAGAGACATATCACTGGAAGACATGCTGGACGACTTTAGCCATCTCATTATCACTATCCAACAAGATGGTTCTGAAAAAAGAGTCCGCATGGCCCACCCTCTGATAGCACAGTGTTGTACTGAATTGATGGCTGAAGCAGGTGTGACCAGAAGTGACACAGCGAAAAATCTCTTGACATGTTTGTGCAGAGATAAAGTCCCTCGATATTTGGCTGCTTTTGTAAAATACATGCTAACCAAAAGAAGACCAAAACAAAAAGAAAATGGAAGAGAAGAGAACCCAATACATCCTACAGAGATGCAAGAGGAGATAGATTCATTTGCTAGACTGATTCTACATATTCAAACAAAGGAGGACAACTCTCAGTGTGTATCACTTTTAGGGATGGCAACAAATATGTTTGTTCGAAATCCGTTTTTTCCACAAGCACTTGCTCGTTTTCATTGCATAGTACTAAGAGACTACGATCAGGCAGAAGTGTGGGCAAAGGAGGCAAAGCAAAGATATCCCCAAAACTCATTTGTTGCTGATACACTGGGCCAAGTCCATAAGAACCGTCTGAAGAACCTGAGGCGACCAGCCCAACCAGGACACATTTTGGATCTGGCCTTAAAGGCCATTCGAGCTTTCGAAGACGAAGAAAGACTTGCCGAAGATGAAGTTGGGACAAACGTGAAAATAAATGGCTATTTCCATGTCTCACGTTTCTTTAACACCAGAGGGATGTTTGGTTTCCTGCAGGTCTGCAATCTTGTGTATGACCTACTTGTCAGTCAGAACCAAACTTGGAGAGGAGTCCTCACAAAGAAGGTGTCTTTGGGCTCGGCCCTGCCATCTCTTGGAGATCACTCACTTCTAAGATTCAATGATCCCATAAACAGACTCAGAGATGCAGTTGAGAAAAAATTTGCTTTTTTTGAGGGATTTCTGACTTACTCCAAGCCTGACATGAAGCAAGATGATCCAGAATACATTTCAAGAGAAACCTCGGCTTGCTACAGGAAGTATGTTGGAGACTCCACATCCAGCCATTTGAAAGAAAAAGGCGCTGATCTGATCCAGAAGCTTAAACTCAAACAGGCTGGCACCACTACGGGAGTTCTCTCATGTCTTGACAGAGAATGCACTGAATCAGACCTTAAAGAAATAACTACATTGTGGGAGGAAATCTGTCTACATAAAGATCCGGTCACAGCTATGGTCAACAACATCTTCGCTCATATCATGTTAAGAAATACGGGAGCAACCAAGTCTGATTGCAAACATTTAACTGCATTCAAACAGGAAATGTACCCGATCCTCACGGATAAACCTGAGCCCCATATGTTAGCCCTCCTCTTGCACTGGCCTACAGACAATGAAGACACATGCATCCTTGACCTCAGTGCAATGATTAAGCGTACGCAAGACCTGTATAAACAAGCATATGCGAATCACTTTCGTACAAGGTACCTTCGCCCTATGTTTTTCCTCGGAAAAGGTCAAGAACTGAACAGGATAGTTCACAGAAAGGCCCTAGAGGGGTCGGTTCTTCAGGCAATGCAAGATTGGAGCGATGAGAAGATTTTCCAAGATCCATCGGTCAAAGAACACCTTCTTAAAGTTCGAGGGGAGATACGAGAGTACAGACTCTTTGCAACTGTTGATGGTAAAGATATTGAGGTGGTTGCAAACCTCCGAAACAGCCTCTGGAGAAAACGCAAGGTGTCCTTCTACCTTGGATTCACCATCAAAGGTCCTGTAGCCTTTGCCATCCAGACTGAAACTGCAGACAAAAAGGGTAAGATACTATAATTCAAGCATAACTGAACATCTATCTGGCCATTTTAAATATAGTTCAAGGTGTAATTCCCATAATTCGAACATTAAACAAAAAATGTGGTTTGGATGATCATGGTAAACATTTTGATCATTCAGTAACAAATTGACAAATTGCATTGCTTGTATGTACTCTACATCATTATAAATGAACACAAATAAAGTCATGGTCACTTCATATTTGATGTGTTCTTTGGTGACAAAGGTCATTGTCATTGCGGTGTTCAACACTAATGAAATCATATTGCATTGTGCTGTGTGGCAGAACTACTCTCAGAGATGGATTCCTCCAAACCATGGCCTTGTGGGTTGTTTAAGTTTGGAGCTTGTGGCGATGAAATGGTACGTTTTCTTTATTTGTTTATTTATATTAATTTAAATAGCTTTTCCAACAACCATGACTGCTCATAAAACATTTTGCCTTCTGAAAATAGGATGCCAGGGATTTGACTGAACTTAAACCTGAAGTCAACAGAGTGGATGAGGTTCAAACCTATAGGTAAGGGTTGCCTCTTCAGTACAGTAATCAGGGATGCAAACTTGTCACCTTTCGGCGAAATTCGCCGTTTTGAATCCAAAATAGGTTGTTTGTGTGATTCATGTAGATCTGCAATAAAAATATTTTGGGGTATGGGGGGGGTCTGGGACCCGGAGTAATCTGCGGCCGCGAGCTGTTATGTGCCATCATGACACGCATGGTGTTCTTTTTTTATATATTATAATGAAGCGCGAGCTGTGTGCTCGAGTCTTCCTGCCTGTCGGCTCTGCTCATGGATGTATAATAAGGCTCTGCTGCTCCGCTATGATGGTCTAGCTTCAGCAGCTACATTACCTACGGGTGCGTTTCGTTTATATTAACTGTGTGGCCCGGAGTCACTGTGGCACAGACTGGACCGCTGCTGAACAGCTGTTAGAACGGGCCGTTCAGGTGTTCAGAGCAGAGCTCCCTGTCGGAGCGGCAGAGCGTGATGTGCACTGAAAAGTTTTTCTGTCGCAATATTATCGTTGAGCTAGCTAACTAGCATACATTGTCACTATCTGCTAACGTTAGCTTTAGCCTTAGTGTTCTAATAGTTTTTTTCATAGGCTATAAACGGAGGTGGTATAAGTATAGATCTTGTACTAGAGTAAAAGTAGAAGTACTCAGATCTTGTACTAGAGTAAAAGTAGAAGTACTCAGATCTTGTACTTGATTAAAAGTAGAAGTACTCAGATCTTGTACTTGAGTAAAAGTAGAAGTACTCAAATCTTGTACTTGAGTAAAAGTATAAGTACTCAGGTCTTGTACTTGAGTAAAAGTATAAGTACCAGAGTGTAGGAACAATCCTGCAATCAAAATGTTCCTCAAATAAAAGTACAAAAGTATTATCATCAAAATATAGTTAAAGTATCGACAGTAAAAGTAGAAGTACTCAGATCTTGTACTTGAGTAAAAGTAGAAGTACTCAGGTCTTGTACTTGAGTAAAAGTAGATGTACCAGAGTGTAGGAATACTCTGTTACAGTAAAAGTACTGCATTCAAAATGTTCCTCAAGTAAAAATATTATCATCAAAATATAGTTAAAGTAGCGACAGTAAAAGTAGTGATTGTGCAGATTGGTCCATTTCAGAATAATATATATGATATGTTTTATAATGATTGATCATGAAAGTGTTCTCAAAGCTGGTAAAGGTGCAGCTAGTTTGAATGACTTTGTATACTGCAGGGTAGCTTGTGAATTTACTCCAGGTGGAACTAAAGTCTGATTTAACACTTGATTATATTTCAACTCATTCATCCACATCTGTAAAGTAACTAAAGGTATTAAATACATGTAGTGGAGTAAAAGTACACCATTTACCTCTGAACTGTAGAGGAGAAGAGGTACAAAGTAGCAAAACATTGAAATACTTAAATAAAGTACAAGTATCTCAACATTGTACCCAAGTATAGTACTTGAGTTTATGAACTTAGTTACTTTACACCATATAAAGATAGAAAGACTAAGCCTTGCACAGAGGCATGAAAATACATTTTCAAAATGCTCAACAGTGCTGCCAAAATTATAAACTGACTGCTACACAATTAAAATAAATGCTTTTATATATTTCTATTAGATGTGACTCTTTGGCGTTTCTGTTATTATTAACACTGCTGCTTTAGTTGTTCTGACTGCTAAAATCCTCTGTTATTCCTCATTTTAAAGCCGATATTCCGTGGGGTCGGGGGGCTCGGATCCTTGTCACCTTTTTCATACCTGATGAGTTTGCATCCCTGAGTAATACATTTTTATGCACTGATGGAAAAGGGTTAATCCCCCCGAATCATAAATACACTTTCTTCTTAGTTTCTTTGCTATTAATCAATTGTGGTGTGAGAGAAATCAGCCAAAGACATATTCCTTTCCTCTGTAATATAATGGAACTAGATGGCACTTGACTCTGTGCTCAAAGTGACAAAGAAGTACATTTGAAATAACTCTGCAGCAAAGTCTCTTTCTATAAATAATTAGCTGGTTACAGTCCCACTACCTTGTTGTAAGCCATCACATTTTACTATATCCAAGAGAAGGTAGGTGTTTCTAAAGCTGATATCTCCAACATTTCGCAAATCCACCCAAAACAAATCTGTATTGATAAATAGAACTACATCGAAGACAACAAATATGTTGTTTTGTTGGAGGTCCCTTTAAGGAAGTACAGCAATGTTTTAAAGGTCACCTATTATGGAAAATCCCCTTTTTCATGTCTCTTCTACATCAACATGTGTCCCCTCTGTGTAAAGAGATTCTGAAAGTTTCAGGAAAAAAGATTCTCTCTCTTTTTGTCCTGATCCATTTATATAAAAACCTGCCTGAAAATGAGCTGATCAGATTTTGGCCACTTTATGATGTCATAACGATTTTCTTGGCTTGAGTAACCATTAGCCAATCACCAACCAAGGTAACCCCTCCCACCTTATCACCTGAATCTCCTCCTGGAGCACCATTGTGTTCTTTGTAACCAAATGTCTCTGAGAGGGGCGTGGGGAGTGGCTCCTTATTTTCATCTAAAGTAACAGACAGAGAATCAGCACGTTTGAAACAGGGCTGAAACAGAGGGGATTATGGGATGCTGCAATGATCTGTTTGGTGTTTGGAGCCAAACACTTCAGAGACATGTTTTGTATATATCTGAGATCTATAATATATTGACGAAAAACAGTATAATAGGGGACCTTTAAACTAGTAATGGTGCAAATTGGGCTGAAAATCTGTTATGTTTTTCCCTAAAAATAGCCTCCAGTCTGATGCAGGCAACTATGAATGCAGTGTGTCTGGCCTGCGCTGGGTGTGTAAGGAAAAAGTCAGCTTCAAATACAAGTTCCTCTCATGGGAGGAACACATGAGGAGTCCAGTTTGCAAGGATTACATGCCAGCAGGACCCCTCATGGACATCACAGTCACATCTGGGGAGATAGAAGAAGTGCATCTGCCACACAGCGTCTGTATCGGTGAGTGTTCATGTCGTGGGAAAGGACTATAATCACTTTGATTCAGCATATATTTCATCATTATTTTGTACTTTGTAGATCAAACCTCTACATTTTCTGGCCAGTTTGCGGTTCTTCACGTGTATCCCTGCTGTGATGTTGTGGAAGAAGTACCTAAAGTGACATTGTCCCACATCACGTTTCTCCAGCCAACGTTCCCTCCAAGGGGGGTCATGATCCGAAAGATGGCGGGAATCCCATTTTACTACGACGTGTTGATATACAAGACGAACAAAGAGTTCCTCGCGTTGGATGTTTATGTGGTGCCGCGCGATTCTGCTCTACGACAGGTGTCTGTTTTGTTCAAACAATCAATCAATAAGACCATATATTAACTTCTCCATTACCTAGAGAATTCAGCATTGTAACTGCGCTTCAAAAATGTTGCCTACTTTTAAGACTTTTCTATATCTTTAATAAATGATGTTTTTTACAGGAAGTGGAAGAAAAGCAAAAGTCTTCTGGATCAATACTAATCCTAAATCCAAGTCCAGACAAGTCCATGCAAATGGGAGAACATTTGTCCCTCACAACAGACCAGGCGGATGCAATCATTCAACCCAGCGTATGTTTCAATCACTTTTTAATTTCACTGTTTAAAAAGGGTTAAACGTGGAGAATGTATCAAGGGAACATCCTTAAAATAGAAAATAATGACAGCAATAATACTTCAACCCCCTTTTTTTCCATAGTCCCGAAAGCTCAGATATGAAAGCATTTTCTTTGAGGTGTTGATCAGAAACACCGACAGCGACATCACCCTCAGGCTTCAAAGTGGAAAAAAAAAAAAAAGACTCTCTGGACCTGTACCATTCATAAAGGTCAGAGTTTTTTGCAATTGATTTGCAGCCACATTGCACTCTTTAGCTTAATATGCATAATCTAATGCCATATGTGTTGTGAATTCAAAGCTAAACAGGAAAAAAACAACCAGCATTGTGACTTATTTTGTTTCAGGAGACTACCAAAATCAAAGCGCTGAGCATTAACAAGGTAAGACGAGAAAGACGTTGGATTGATAAGGGATATCAGATGACTTCAAACACTATTGCTACCTTGCTCTTCATCACTTTCTCAGTTTCTTGATGAAGAATTTAACACATAACTGGAAATTCTGCTTACTTTTTTCCCCCTGCGTCACATCAGCATTTTCGTGGATCGCCATCAGGCAGCTCTGATAAACACAATGAGCGATAAAAAACCATTTCTGGATTAACTCAAGGAAAATAAGGCGATCTCTGAGACCTACGATGTGAGGGGGATGAAGAGTGTGGGGGGGGGGGGCTCTTGTTTCTGAGCTTCAGGGATCAGGATAAAGTATGGGAAAGTAAAGGGTCGTATTGTTATGGAGAATTGAAGCATCTGCTGTGATAATCAGTGCCACAGAACAGTTTAATATCATCAGCACTCAGAAGACAAGAGTGACGATATGTTGCTACTTAAACTCTTTTAAAAAGTACCTATTTTTCGTGATTTATTTGTGGATTTGTGAAACCCTGAATGTGAAAATCATAATAACACTTATTTTATTTTTTGATATATTTTTGATATAATAATTCATTACATTTTTTTATTAGAGCGCTTTTTCAAGGTACTCAAAGCGCTTTACAACTACACATTACATGCATTAGACATGTATATATCTTTCTTTTCATGTTTAATATCTTAGGTGATGTAAACTCAATGTATGTCCAGTTAAAAAGACAGATATTATAATATTGAAATACTTTTTTGTATCTATCGCAGTTGTAAAGCTTTTGAGAGTAGAATAATTCATCAAAGAAAAGAGAGAAAGAGTACATGACTTTTGATGTTTTATTGTAACGTGCTTGACTTAATGTACATAATGTTAGATTTGTATGACTAATGAAGAGATTGAAGGTTTTTTTGTTGGTTTGGTTCTTTAGTGCCAAAAAAAGGAAAAAAACGGCATAGTATAGTATGTAATACAAAAGTATTGTATGTCGTTGAAATGTTACACAAACAGAAACAGAATTGGAGCAATAAATAGGACAATGTCTTGCGTTGTAAAAAATAGACTTGGTTTTATTGTCTTCAAATTGTCACAAAAGAAAGTCAAACATGAATGTGTACAGTTCTTTTTTTATGCAAATGATCACCTTAAACAGCAGTGAATAAATACAAACAATTAAACACAGGTAACCAGATCTAACATGTGAGTGACGAACAGTTTAAGGAGTCAGGAAAGTGAAACTGGAGAAGGTGAGTCTGAGGTCCTAGTGGCTGATCTTCGCCTTGAGACCCTCGAGTTCAGGACGGCCCTTGAAGCGAGCTCTGTAATCCACCTCTGTGTGCTGAGAGGAAACAGAAAGAGAGATTATTAGTGGGAGATAACGGGTGTCCATGACAGATGTGTGTGGTTAAAGTATGTCTATGTGTCTAACTCAAGTCACTTCATTACATAAAGCAAAAAAGGCCCAGAATCTTTTCTCCTTATTTGACTTATTTATGTTACTTGAATAGACCCTTACTCTGTTAATGATTGTTTTGTTTTGTTTTTTTGTAAAATGCCAACTGTTTGTTTTATTTTATCGATACTGTATTTGCACCATTCAATAGCCGCGTTCACACCGCAGTACTTTTCCCACTTTAGTTCCGATATAGTTCCGAAATGTCGCGTTCACACCAAAAGAATCCGGAACTAAAATGAGTTAATGAGAACCTTTTTTATCCCCATTTTCCTGCTAGAGAGCAGGTACTTTCGTGGGAGAAAAAGGTTCCTATTTCTGATTGGCTGGGCGGAATGCAAACCATGCCCCATAAAACTCCCAAAAAGTTTTGTGAAGGCGCTATTTTATTATCCTCGCATTAGCATTATTAGCATTAGCATTAGCCCAGCGCACAAACGCAGAGAGACTAACTTATGGCAACACAAAATAAAACATGGGAGCGGTGGAGATGAGGAGGTGTCGGCGTTCTGGCGATTTACTCGGAAGGCTTCAGTAGAAGCTGCTGGGAGTCCCAGCAGCTTCTACTGAAGCCTTCCCCAACTCCGGGGACTTCCGGCCGGGGACTTCGGGTGGCAGTATACGCCATGAAGTTGTTTGCGGCCTGCCAATATACCCAAAGCAGAAGAAGAAGAAGTGACGTCAGCGGCTTCATTTGCCTAATCCTCCCCCACGGACTTATTCCGGTGTGAACGCGATCTGTACTTAGTTCATGAGAGCTAAAGAGTTCTCATGAACTAAGTTCTCATGAACCTTTGTGGGAAAAGTACTGCGGTGTGAAAGCGCCTAATGTTATTGACTCAAATAAGTGCCTTAAAGGTTTGTAAATGACTCTTGATTAATAAAGTTTTAAAACATAAATAAGATGTGTTTGACTGCATAAAGAAGACTTGTGTTGGTTAGGGGTATGCATAATGATTAGGTGTTTAATCCAACACACTCTCACTCCATAAACGTCCAGGAGCGACGCTTGGTCAGGGTCCCGAGGCGTGCAGTTGGGACGCTCCTAGACTGCTTCAGCTTCATAAACAGACGCAAATAGCTTTCAACTGATTTCAATGTATTCCCATCTGCGGCGGGATTTGACGCTCATGGAAGCACGGCATTCGTTTGTGTCGGAGGCTGTTAAAGGCAATGTGACCGTCCATTCCCATTGGATAACGGAGAATTGTACACCCGAAAGTAAGTATTCCGCTTACTGTCGATTGAGTTGACAGTGATATCTCCACTACTCATCAACTCAAAAACACCAGATTATCCTTGTTAATTAAACGACATTGATAGGTTTTAGTGTGTGTACAATGCTTTTGTCACGTTTTCCCCTTCAATTCTGAGAAACAAGTCATTTTCTATGAGTTTTGGATGGCCGAAGACATTACATTACCCACAATCCTCTTTAGCAACCATAGACTGTATACAAAAATTAAATAATACATTATTCCGAGTGTGCTTGCTTTTCTCTTGGTATTGGTAGATAGGCTGTATTTACGCCATAACGGTGCACAGCTGATAGAAAGGGACACCTACTGGTTCAAGCACATTATTGCATTTTATAATTTTATTATTAGATATTAATAGGATCCCTATAAAGTATATTCTTTACTCGTCGTTATTCTCTACTAATAGTTCATTAAAGACTGTATACAATGACTATTTTGCACGTCCCATTCAAGATTTCAAGATTTTCTAAGGTTTATTGACATATCATATTATACACAACTACGGTGTAGTTATGCAGTGAATGAAAAACTTGGGTCGCAGGTTCCTCAACAGTGCATTACAAGACATCTCTCAATATGTGTGTACCTCCACCATTACATTGTCATATTCTGCACATTTCTTATACTATCTACATACATCTTATAAGAGTATAATACATGTGTATAATATCAGTTAAAATAAGTGCTTAAACATAGTTAACATTGCAGGAAACCAATATATTAGACGTTAAGTACTTTGTCAGGCTTAATATTTATCTGTAGATACAAATTTCACTGTGTGTGCTGTGTGCTCTGCATGTGTGACCATCAAAGAGGGTTTCATCCCTCCATATTCATCTTCTATACCCCCAAAGCTTTTTTCTTATTCAAAAGAAGACCTTAACCTAAAGTATTCTGTAATGTTTAAATAAAACCTTATTAGTTTGTCTGTTTTGCACATCCTCCTATTAATATCTAATAATACAGTTAGGTGTAGGTGTCCCTTTCTATCAGCTGTGCACCGTTATGGCGTAAATACAGCCTATCTACCAATTGGATCAAATATAAAAGTCAGCCGAATTAGTGTTGATACTGCAATGGAGACGTATTGTGTGAAAATAAATGTAAGATGTTGTTTAATTGCTGAAATATTTATGATCCACGTCACGTTTTCAGTTTTGGCGGCAGTTCTTCCAGTTTATCTAGAAGTCTTCTCATCAGGGCTCTATAAATAGAGAACTACGGCAGATATGTCATATTCAATGCAGCCGAACCGTGTATTACAATGCCGTATTGAATGACTTTCAAAGAGAAAGCAAGCACACTCGAATAAAAGTATATTTTAATTAAAAAAAAATGTTTTTCGGATTTCACAATACGCATACAACAAAAACCATTCCCAACCATGCATTGCGGCTAAACTCCCAAATCACCGAGCTGAGGATCTTGCCTACCGTCTGTTTCCGGTATTGTTTATGACGATGTGATGTAGATATGTGAGACTGGGTAGGCAACCGGGGAAAATAACGTATCTATGCCACAAATTTTAGATGCAGATTTTGTTAAACTAATACGTTTGCGCTGTGGACCAAACACTAATAAATTGACGGGGAAGGGGGTAGCGATAAAGACTAACACCATTAAACAGTTACACAACATAACAGAAATAATAGCGATAGCAGCGTCCCTAGCAACCATCCTTGGTAACAATGAAACGCTGTAAGGTGACACAATTTTGAAGAGTTGTAAATTACATGAACCGAAGCTGTTGCCTGTTGCAATATACAGCTATGGTTGCTACAGAAGGGATTGTGGGTAATGTAATTTTTGTCCTTCGGCCATCCAAAACTCATAGAAAACGACTTGTTTCTCAGAATTGAAGGGGAAATCGTGACAAAAGCATTGTACACACACTAAAACCTATCAATGTCGTTTAATTAACAAGGATAATCTGGTGTTTTTGAGTTGATGAGTAGTGGAGATATCACTGTCAAATCAATGGACAGTAAGGGGAATACTTACTTCCGGGTGTACAATTCTCCGTTATCCAATGGGAATGGACGGTCACATTACCTTTAACAGCCGCCGACACAAACAAATGCCGTGCTTCGATGAGCGTCAAATCCCGCCGCAGATGGGAATACATTGCAATCAGTTGCAAGCTATTTGCGTCTGTTTATGAAGTTGAAGGAGCCTAGGAGCGTCCCAACTGCACGCCTCGGGACCCTGACCAAGCGTCGCTCATGGACGTTTATGGAGTGAGAGTGTGTTGGCCTCCAGAAGAAAACGCCACTGGAGGCTGAGCAGAATCTCCCCTGTGCTTCTCTAGAAGTTGTCTTTATGGGTGAAGTTAATTAACTTAAAATTACCATACTGCTTATAACCAGTGGCGACTGGTCATTAGGGGCAGGTGGGGCACAGCCAAAAGTATTAAAATAATAATTACAAAATAATGCAAAAAAATGCAAAGGAATACATCTTAAAATATATTTTACGATCATGTTTAATCATCTGATTCATCTGTACATTGCTGTTTTAGCCTGTGTTCTTCTAATTAGTGTCTACAGTGTGCCTATTGAGCCGTTTTGAGCGACGTGGGTCAAGCCCCGATCAAGCCCCTCTCTCTCACTGTCTAAGTGAATGGGTGCTGTAAAAACTACACTGTGCATGCTCAGAGTCTTTTTCTATTCAATGTGTGCGGCAAAAAAAGTATCACCTTAGGGGCACTGTGCTGACACACCCACCAAACGTCATCTCACATAATTCAGAGCTGAAAGGTGTGGTGTGTGAAGAGGAGACGAGAGAGGTCCAGTGACGCGTCCTAAAACCCGGAAGTAAGCTGCGCATTCCCTCGACAAAAAAGCAATGGGATTTCTCCATAAGATTTTAGAAAATAGCTCGAAATAAGATCTGTGGGAAACGAACCTGTTGGATAAATGCACATTTTGTTCAGCCGGATAATATCCACATGTCTACCCTACTGTACTTTTATAATTTTCGAATCATAAATCTATCGATCATAAATCTATCGATTAGATTTTAATTGTTTGCAAGATTATAATTAATATCTCAAAAAATGTATTTTGTTATCCAAATCATTTCATTATAAACTCAAAAGCATAATATCTATGCTGTTTCTTTTTGAAAGGTTGATACTATAAAGTAGCCTTATTCAAGTATATTATTGGCAAAGACATTTCCAGGAAAGCAGTTCATTTATTTGAAAACCTAACTGAAAGGATTTCATTTCCGAGAAATGAGTTAGAGTGTTAAGTTAAATGTTAAGAGTCATTGTGCCTTGGGCTTTTGAGGGTTTTTTATTATAAATCACCTGCAGTAATAACAACCAATGAAGAGAAGGCAATATTCAACTGTATAAATAACATTGTCAGGATCTTTTGTCAGACACACAACTGCTGGAACTCGAACAGGTAACAAATTATTACTTCACTGTTTTTTCACAGTTAAATAAATGTTAATAATAATCTTTTGTCTGTTTAATGTTTACATTTTAGAATTGTTTATTTCTACTCTTTTAATTTCTACTTATGTGCAATTCCTTTTCCAATATTACATTGCATTTGTTTCTCTGTAGTTCCTGGTTTCTCTTCATATGCTGCATTTTCAATCTTTCTATTTACACAAAGTAGAAGAATTTCTCAGAAACAGAGGAACAGGTTATCAGTGTTGGATGTGAAGATGGGACACACTTTGCTCTCTCTACTGGGGTTTTTCTGTGAGTACTTTCTGTGAATGTTTGAATTGCCATTGATACAACTTTTTAAATGCCTGAGGTTATGATATATGTGTCATTATATTTAATAATGTCTGATGTATTTTCAAACTTATTTTAGTGCTGAGTTTACTTTACTGTGGACAAGCTCAAGGTAATTATACCATTTCTTTCTTTTTGTTTACCAACTAAAGTAAAATCTACCTATGAAACTCTCCAGACAACAACCTCTTTTTTGTGTGTTCCGTTTTGTCAATTTATTATAAATGTTTTTACAAAAAGAAACACATTTTACTTCATGTATCTTGTGATGGTTTCTAGATGCTGTGCTGACCATTGATCCAAACTGGACAACTTTCTTTTCTGGAGAGTCTGTTACCTTCAAGTGTGACATCACAGGAGGCAGATACAGCGACTGGTATTACTCAATCCTCCAGGATGGTGGAGCATTTCTCCCTCACCACAAACATGAGAAATATAAATTACATTCTCTAACTCCAGGCTACAGTGGTGCGTACCAATGTTTTTATCATCAGAAGAACTCAACAAAGGAAAGCAATAAAATCTATCTAACTGTATCAGGTAAGTGATCAAAGTAATACCATCATGACCAAGTTCAATACAAACTATTTATTTTACTTAATGAGCCATGTTGATATGAAAACCCAGTTTGGACAAGTTCTAATATATAATCTGTGAACTATTTTGATATTTTAACATTTAGAACAGCTTCACTGATGCTGTATAGGCAGGTGAAGAATACTGTACAATCCTGTGCTTTGTGTTATCACAAAATCATGAATATTAAAATAAGAACAAAAAGACAGACAGGGATAAGCTTCTTACATCAAAGCATTTACATAAAGATAATACTTTACCAATAAACCATGTTATACTTTATAACCTGTGACACATGGATTGTTTTCACATTGACAGTATCTGACAGTAAGTCATTTATCATCAGTTGACTTTTTTTACTGTATATAAATAAAAAGATTAGTATTTTGGTTTTTATATTTAAGGAAAGTTCACCCTTAAATTTGTTTTATACGTTTGTAGAAAATATGTAGGATCCAAGGAGAGCATTTAACCCGCCAATTATAAATCATAACATTATATTTAAATCACTTTCCAACAGAAATACCTAAGCCTGTCCTCACTGTGTCTCCATCATGGCCGAGTCCTGGAGCCTCAGTAACTCTGAACTGCAGGGTTGATCATCCGTCTGCTGGCTGGAGCTTCTACTGGTATAAGGCTGTTCCCCAAAAGTCAGACTACTCCTACAGCTTTGAGCTGCTACTTGGCAGCGAGAATGGGACTGAACAGGATCTCTTCATCATTGATGGACAAACACACACAGCAGGATATGTTTGCAGAGCTGCAAGAGGAGATCCAGTGTTTTACAGTTGGCACAGCAAACCTAAGTTTGTCTGGTCTGGAGGTCAGTATGTTCTTCCTTTTTCTTTCTTCCTGTAGTTTGTACCATCATTAGGCTAAAAAAAAATGTCTTTATCGAAGTTTGTCTGCTCTGGAGGAATGTTTGTTTTGACTTTTCCATTATTACAAAATGGAACAAAGTCACTTATTTTGGGAACTTTTCTTTTACACCAGCATCAGGTCATACCTGTAGTTACGTTTTCAAAACTATTCTCTAAAACAGAATGATGATGAATTTATTCAGCTTCTGGACTTGACTGAATTTTAACACAAGTATGCGTATGCGTTTTACCGTATGCGTCCTCGTGGGGCTGGCGCCTTTTGACACATGAGTTGTTTACTTTGTAAATCCAAAACCTAATAATAAAAGGCTTCTCAATACATTGTAATTAGATATAACTGGTAAGTGTTTTCTTTATTTTTTTAGTTGGGAATATGTTTTAAGATATGTATCTGCTGGTTAAATGGTTTAAGATAAACAATACATATAACTAAAAAAACGTGTCTTTTATTTTTGTTTTCCTCCTACTTTAGTTTGTTACCGTTTGTTTTTTTAGGGTAAATTAAGTGGAAGTTTTGCTGTACCCATGCATTGTCTTTTTCAGTTTGCATGTTTTAAATGTCCTCTCTTTGTGTGTTTCAGATTTGAATTCAGCAGCGTCTCTCACAGTGAGTCCTGACAGTGTGCAGCACTTCACCAAAACGCCTGTGTCACTGAGCTGTGAGGGAAACTCCACTGAGTGGAGAGTGAGGATGTTTTCTAAACCTGACTACCTTTATCACTGTTCTATCTTGGGGACAAAGACTGGATCCACATGCAAAATAACCAGTTACAGGTTTAGTGGAGTGTTCTGGTGTGAGTCTGAAACAGGACAGTTCAGTAATGCAGTCAACATCACTATGGAGTGTGAGTTTTAATTATTTAAAATGTTTGTTTCTGAAGTATTATATTGTTTTGAAATGTGAAGGTGACTGAATGTGAATCAATGTATCATCTTAAAACTTGCTAATATTCTCTTATGATGTCAACATTTACACTTTCATTCTTAGGCATGTAAGTGTATTGTATCATGGTGCACAATTATAAACTTTCTATGATTTTGTGGATTTTAATAGAGTGGTGCAGTGACGAGTCCTAAAACCCGGAAGTGAGTAAGCATTTTACCACTACCGGTTCCCTCGTCTCAGAGTCAATGGGATTTCTCCATAGGATTTTGGAAAATAGCTGGAAATAAGGTAGGACTACAGAAGTTGTCGAGGACGTTGTACGTCATTACGCCGAACACGTAAACACTACCGCTAAGTTAGTTTGCCCCTGTTCTGCTTGAAAGCAAGTACCTGCCTCCTGCAAACTGTTAAAACAAACGCTTCAACTTGTACCATTTTGAACCTGTATTTTTGAATATGGATCTTAAGTTGGCGTGACGTTGAAGTCGTGCGACCCTGCTGTACTCGGCTGTAGTTCCTTTATAGCATAACATTACATTTTGCTTCTGGCGATTAGATTTATGATTAGAAAATTATAAAAGTAGGGTAGACATGTGGAGATTATCCGGCTGAACAAAACGTGCATTTATCAAACAGGTTCGTTTTCCACAGACCTTATTTCGAGCTATTTTCCAAAATCCTTTTGAGAAATCCCATTGCTTTTTTGTCGAGGGAACCCGTGCGCAGCTTACTTCCGGGTAAATATGTCATCCCTGTGTTCGATGCCAGAACGTCAATCATAAACCATTTGTTATTAAAGAAAACATTTTATTTTTTTATATAAATAAATATGCTTAAACTATATGTCTTCTTGTTTGTTTCACCCTGCTTTAAACTTGTGTGTTGAAAGCTATACAGTGATAGTAAAAAGGACTGAAATCCATTTCTAAAGTAATTTATTATTATTTATTAAACAGTTTGACTGAGAAATGTTGTGTACCATTTTAATCCTGCAAGGAATTGTGTAAATGCTTTTCAGTACATTTGTAGTCAAATACATGTTGATTACGTCATCAAAGTACACTTTAGCTTTGCATACAGTATGGATGATTTAACCCTCACATGAAGTGCAGGGTGAGAGCTGTGAGCCTTTTTTTATTTATTTTTTAGTAAATTGTATTGAACATGTCAGAAACTAAACATTCAACAATAATAATATATATATATAGATATACTTTTTTTTTTTTAATTTATAATAATAATTATAACAAAGTACAAAACATTTAAAAAAAAGAAATTCTCAAATAGTCTCTGTCATGTTCAACAGGTGCAGGAAGAAGCTTAAAAAAACGTTTCTGTTCCTACCCCCTCTAGCGTACATTTTCCTTACAAATAAAATACTAGGTCACCGTCATCAGCGATATGTTTGTCTTATTTTTTAGTTTTTTTACACAACAATCAAAAAATAAATAAGTTTTACAGTTAGAAGAAATAGAATATATGATTTCACAGGTCCTGCTCATAACCATTCAGGATTTGGCTTCTAAATAATGTTTTCAGTTTAGATAGACTTGTACAATATTTCAGTGCATCATTACAGTTATTCCACAGACTAACACCTTTTGATGAGATGCAATTAAGTTTGGAAGTAGTTCGTATTGGTGGTTATTTGAAAATGCAGTTTCCTCTCAACATGTGTATGTTTTCTCTCCGTCTGAAAGGTCCCTGGATATTATGAGGTAATTGTTGATTTGCAGCTTTGAACATAATTTGAATAGTTTTATAGTCAACCAGGTCTTGTAGTTTTAGTGTTTTTAGCTTGATAAATAATGTATTTCAGTCAGACAACTCACGTGTTTCTTAATATGTTTATTATAGCAGCATATACTTTGAGTTTGGCGTCTAGGCTCGGGCCTCATCACTCCACAGATTTACAAAGAACATTGAGTGATGATTAGATAACTATCCCCCGAGCCTACAGGTGGAAGCTGGGGTGGAAGCTGGGGTGGTGGTGGGGCAGGCAAGTAGCAGCAACATGAAACACAGCAGCAGGAACATGAACGTAGCAATAGCAAGTGAACACAGCAGCAGCAGCAGCATTAGCGAGGCAGAGGCAGGAAGACCTGGCAGCTTAAATAGAGCGGCATGTTTAGGAGAATGTGTTTGGTTGGTTGTAAGAGGGACGAGGTGCGTCACATGTCAATGTATGATTGGTGCTCGAGTTGACTGCCTGAACTAGCTCGCAGGCTTCGCCCCATTTGTTGGTTCTCTGTACGTAGTTTTATGTATAATTCGTACGGATCTTTTTTGCAGGATGAAGATAGGATGTGTATTTGTTTTATATGTGTTACATTACATTACATTGCATTTAGCTGACGCTTTTATCCAAAGCGACTTACAATAAGTGCATTCGACCAAGAAGATACAAACTAGAAGAAAACAGAATCATATAAGTACATCAGGTTTCATAGAGCCAAAACATTTCAAGTGCTACTCAACTAGCTTTAGATAAGCCAGTCCTTTGTTAGTATATAAGTGCTTTTTAGTAATTTTATTGCTCGAAGTGGAGTCAAAAGAGATGAGTTTTTAGTCTGCGCCGGAAGATGTGTAAGCTTTCTGCTGTCCTGATGTCAATGGGGAGCTCATTCCACCATTTTGAAGCCAGGATAGCAAACCGACGTGTTTTTTCTGATGGGAACTTGGGTCCCCCTCGCAGTGCGGGTGCAGCGAGCCGTTTGGCTGATGCAGAGCGGAGTGCACGTGCTGGGGTGTATGGTTTAACCATGTCCTGGATGTAGGAAGGGCCAGATCCATTCACAGCATGGTATGCAAGTACCAGTGTCTTGAAGTGGATTCTAGCAGTTACTGGAAGCCAGTGAAGTGAGCGGAGGAGCGGTGTGGTGTGTTCCCCCAAACTTCCACACAGTACCTCATGTATGGAATGTATGCCTTAAGAGGAGATGAGACATTATTTATTATATTAAACGGTTGTAACTTTTACTGCTTGTTGCTAGTGGATAGAATACTAAAATAGAAAACAACTAAATATTGTATCATACTATTTAGTTATTGTTGTTTGAAGTCAAGGTCAACTTACCAAATATCTTTAGAAGTGGCAGTTGTGAGAGTGAAGTGGTATTGTTGAATGAATGATTTTTTTATAAGATAAAACAAATACATATAGCAAGATAGAAACACATGACCAAATAACTAGAGGCTTCTCTTTTTGAACTACAACTTTACTCATGTGTAAAGACATTTACACATATATTGCATTACAGTACGATTATTAATTGGGTTCGAAGGGCCCTATTATACTTTTTGGCGTTTTCCCTTTCCTGTGTTATATAGACTTTTTTGAATAATAAAACATGCCACAGTACAGGGAAAAAATACAATTAGCACACCTGAAAATGAGCATAATAGAGAGCATCTTAAAGGTGCTTTTAGATGCTAAAATTGTGTACTTCAAATAAAGTGTCGCCAAACAGGTTTTTCTAGGAAATTTGGTTTCTCTTTGGGGTCACAAGCAAAAACAGAAAGGGAGAGGCAGAATAGATGTCCAAAGAATAAAGACATCCACCAACTCTAAAGCTCAATAATTAACACACTATATCTTGTTGATTTAATCTTTAAAGAAAAGTTTAGGGGAACCATTTTAGAAAGTGATAACCAAGATAACTGTGGTGTTGTAAAAACAAATCTCTGTGTCTTTCAAAAAGAGTGGTGTAGGAAGTACGAGTCATTTTGAAACGTTTGTGTATTGGCATTCATTATCCGGAGGAACGAGGCGTGTCTGAAGTCAAAGCTTGCTGGATGGCTGACAAAAATGTGTCAACAAAACAAATTGCAGCGTATATATAATCACAATGAAACCAAGCGACTAGGAGCCATTTCCCTGAAATGCTTTTGATTTCTTGTAAAACAAAAGTGATGGTTTGCCAACACGTCACTTTTGATGAGAAATTCTTCTTTACTCAATAGAAGAAGAAGAAGATGGACCTTTATTAATCCCCCGAGGGGGAAATTCAGTTTCCACTCTGTCGTACACGCACATGCGTTTTTATACAGGTAAATACAGTACACACAGTACACACTTTTTACATACCTACATATACAAATACACACACAGTTATATGCACACATGCACATGCAGTTGAGAGGTCAGAGCGGAGGCAGCCAGTCTAGCCTACGCCAGTGAGCATTTGGGGGTTCGTTGCCTTGCTCAAGGGCACTTTAGCAGTGGCCCAGGATGTCAACCGGCGACCGTTCGCTCCAAAGTCCAATCCCCTACAGACTGAACCACTGCCGCCCCCAAATAGACAATAGATAGACAATAAAACAAGTTTTCCTTAATTGCATATTAATGAATTAAATCAATATATTTTTGTATGAAGGTTGTTCAATCCTGAATAAAGAAGACATTTAAATGAGCCTGCATGACGGTGGTTGCTTTTCACTAGAGACAAATACAGTCTTGCATTTCGATTTGTATGTTTGTTGTTTCTGTGTGAGACATACAGTTTTCTCTTGATAATTTATTGGTTAACTCTTGTATAAGTCTATTCTAACTTTTCTTTTTTAGTTTTTACAGCAAAGTCTTAGCTTAATGTCCACTTACTAACTTTTTCAAGGCTTCTAAACACGTCCTTACAGGGGCGGTTCTAGGGGTGGGGGGGGCAACAGGGGCCAGTGCCCACCTAACACTGACCAGGGACCCCCCCTGTGGCCCACCTCCAAAAAAAAGTTACAATATTACGATTTATTTGAACTAAATCAAATCAGAGACCCGGATGTACAGTGGGGATTAAACTGTTCATTGCCTTATATAAAAGGAAATACTGTTTATGATTTTTTATTAAATTGTTACTTAAAGTTACTAAAACAAATACTCTAAATGGAAAAAACGACTGAAACAAAGGACTTATTTTACACAATTACTTTATACTGTCTTTGTCTTTTTACCCCACTTTTATTGTGCCCCTCTCACTTCCAAGAAATTAGTTAAAATGTTAAGAGTAATTGTGACTTGGCATGAGCTATAGAGGGTTCTTATTATAAATCACCTGGAGTAATAACAACCAATTAAGTGTAGGCAATATTCATAGTTTAAAAATGTTTGGTATGCAGAAGGTGTGACTAGAAACTGTATAAATAACATTGTCAGGATCTTTTGACGGACACACAACTGCTGGAACTCGAACAGGTAACAAATTATTACTTCACTGTTTTTTCACAGTTAAATAAATGTTAATA